GCTCCGCCACTGTTACGTGCTCCAAGACGCTGCTCTGGCTGAAGGGAGCTATATTAATGCAAGTTGTTGTTAAGCGTAGCTTTAATTGTACCATCTGTTTTAAAATCAAGGTCAAGCACAATTGTTGAAGATTCTTAAANTTTTTCTTAATTTGGAAGTAGGTTTTACACAATTAAGACTGAACTCAATCATTTTTGACAATTCTGTCAATCTTAACATTTTAGAACAGGTCTTATACATTAAGATTTGGTGAAATTTTGGGTCTCGGAAGATTGTTTTTAATTGATCTGTAATGAAACAATTAATGTTCTGCAGTACATCTCTTAGCATTTACTGCCAAAACAGTCTTCTCAAAATGTAATTATTCAGGAAAATTCAATACAGTGCAATTCATTCTTACCGGATTTAGATGCATTTTCGTGTCATTGGTCAGATCCCATCTGAAGTACTGTGTTCGGTTTAGGGCAACGCACCTCAGGAAGGATACATTGGCCTTGGAGGGGGTGCAGCGCAGATTCACCATAGTGATACCAGGGCTTAAAGGGTTAAATTAAGAGCTCAAGTACGACAGGCTGCATAAGCTTGGTCTCTATTCCCTTGAGTTTAGAAGCTTGAGGGATGATCTCATTGAGGTTTTTTTTAACAATAAAGGAATCGATAGGGTAACTACAGATAAACTATTGCCTCCCACGGGGGAATCCAGAACAAGGGGCATAATCTTAAAATTAGAGCTTGGCCATTTAGGAGTGAAATTAGGAAGCAGTTTTTCATTCAAGGGTAGTGGAAATCTGGAACTCTCTCCCCCAAAAAGCTGTGGATGCTGCATTCACATTTTCAAAACTAAGGTGGTTAGATTTCTGTGAGGTCAGTGTATTAAGGGATATGGGGCAAGGGCAGTTAATTGGAGTTGAGGTACAGATCAGCCATGATCTTATTGAATGGTGGAACAGGCTCGAGGGGTTGAATGGCCTACTCCTGTTCCTATGTCATCAACCTCTTAAACAAAATAGTTGGTTGGTAACTTGACAAGTGCTTCTGTTGTACGGAGAGACTCGGGGGGGCGGTGGGGGCGGGAGTTAGCGGGGATCAGCTTCAAGGTGACATGCCTGGCAATGGAATGTCAGAATGAAGCCAGCCCTCTGTGGTGGTCTCTAGTCTGGTTCCTGAACCAGGTGGGTCCGCAGTATTCCAGGGCAGAGCTATTGACAGTACAGTCAGCCTGGCTCAGCGGCAGGACCTGGAAGGGCAGACCAGTCACTGGGGACAGGGAGTCATCCCACTCAGCTCCTGTTAACGCTGCAAGCTAAAGCCCTAATGGGTAGGGTGGTCGGAGCTGGACAAACAGTGGGAAATATCAAAAAACAGCAATATCAATGGCAAGCTATGTGATTTTAGCTGGTTAGATTCCATCAGTTACCCCAACACACACTCTGACGTCCCCAAGCCTTGGCTCTTGCCAACCTGCGTCTACGTCTTTCCGGAATTAGGTAAACAGGATGTGTCCCTCCAGGGAGAGAGTGTGCATTCCATTCCAAAATCTATCTCTGGGATTTCCATGTGTACGTGGGATGCGTGGAAATCTCAGCTTGGTTTGGATTAAGCATGGTGCTGGGTTTCCACGTGGGTCAGATATCAGGCTGATCAAAGAAAAAAAATTGTAAGGAGAGACAGGCCATCATGTGGTGATTGCCTGGTAAAATATATTGGAAAGAGATATACTGGAGACTAAGTTTCATTGCCAATATCTGAGGTATATCCGGTGTAATTGAACTGGATTTCAAAATAAACAGTGCAAAGATCTCTATGTGAAAAATGTGGTCTATTAAATGGATGGTTTCAACAGTACTCAACTCCCACCCAGACGGGGACAGTATACCTATGGTTAGATATACCTTCTTAGCCTCCTTCAAGTCCCGCCTCAAGACCCTCCTCTTCGACCATGCCATCGGCCACCCCCTTTCCCCTACCCTCCCTTACCCCCCCAACCCCAGCTCGGGTCTGAAATGCTGTACTCTGTCCAGCGCCTTGAGAAGTCCCCCCGACGTGAAAGGCGCTATACAAATGTAATCTTGTTGTTGTTGTAGGTGGTACACTTCTCCCCTAAAGTTGTCACTAGTTCCCAGAAAGACTATGCACAATTGAAGAATACATCAATAAATAAGGCTCTGCATTGAATCCCATGGTTGTCTTGAGTTGCGTGTTCTCAAATAAAGAGTGCAAATCAGTGAGGGTTCCCTCTCCTGATCACTATTTGGTGACTTTCTGCTTAACATTCCGGTTATCAAGCAATAATGCCAGCAACCTCCTTCGTGTATTCTTGCATTCTGCACCATCTTTTAAGGGGAGCCTAGTGACAAGTGGACTCTTCTCACTCAGCTCCCATTAACCCTGCAAGCCAAAGCCCTAACGGGTATGGCAGTCCTTGCTGGATAAACAGCGAGAAAGCTTGCAGGCAGTGTTATCAATGGCAACTTACGTGGTATTAGCTGGTTAGGGGTCCCCAAGCCTTGGTTTTTGCCAACCTGTACCTAGTATTTTCCGGAATTAGGTAACCAGAATGTGTTCCTCCAGGGAAAGTGTGGATTCCATTCCAACAATCTGTCACAGGGTTTTCCATGTGTAGGTGGGATACATGGAATTCTCAGCTTGGTTTGGATACTCTTAAGCATGGGGATGGGTTTCCACATGCATCAGCCTGAGCAACAAAATTAAGGCAATAAGGCTCTCCTTCTCTCAGTCAAAAAGCCTGGTGGCACTCACTGTACAGGTACACTCATCAACCTAGAGAGGGGCAGTTGGCTGCGGAATCTATACAGCATGAATCATTGCCTTTAGTGGGGGGGAAAGACAAAGGGGAAAATACGTATGGCAATTTAGAAAAGCAAATTACATTTTAGTATTTTTGCTAAAATTTTCCAACATATTGTTAAATTTGATAATTCATTGCCTTCCTGAAATATTGGCCATTTGCAGAGAAAATGAAAGACATGGCACTCGTAATTAACACAACAGTGACATCTGTCCTACATCATGTGATTGGCACTGTAGTAATAACAATTTAATTGTGCAAATTCCAAATAATAGAGTTCAATCACTAAATATATCTACACACCCAACTGTACAACAAGAACTGTTGCACAATGACTTGACTTGAAAAAATTGCTGCTTTGCATTGCCATCAAGTGGCAGAAACTGGCAACACCAGCATTGATGTAACAGCAATGAGGTTACTGGGAAATGGAGAAATTACCAAGTACAGTATTTCCTTTTTGTAACAATGTCAAACAGGTTACAATTTGAAAAAAGGGAGTTTCTCCCAGTGCCCTGGTCAACAATTCCCTAAATACAACTGGTCAATCACTTCACAGCTGTGTGTGGGACACTGTTGTGGGCAAATTGGCCGCCACATTCACCTACAAAATACAGTTACTAATTTATACTAAATTCTGTGAAACACTTTGAGATGTCTGAATGACTGAAGGAGCTATATCAAATGCAAGATTATTAAAATAAAATCTAAATCACTGGAGTAGAACACCTGGATAAATCACATACCACTTTCACAACATGAAATATTATATTTTTACAGTGCAATGTGCTTTGATGCAAAATATCTCCTCTCCAAATATTCAATGTTTTCAATGGGGTTATTATGGTTCAGCCATCTGCAGTCAACATGTTGAAAATTTTCCACTTCCATCATGGCTCAAATGTGTGTGATTTTCTGATTCCTGGGGCCTATGTGATGATGCTTTGAAGTTATTGAAAGCTACAAGCCAAACCTGACTGGAAACAGTAAAATTAAAGAACTGTAAGAAATATGCAGAAAAAAAAGGAGTGCTTTTACAATAAACTATTCCCTAGGAAAAAAAATTCTATACCCATTGTCAACAACAACAAATTACATTTGTACAGAACCTTTCATGACATCCCAAGACATTGGACAGTCAAGGGGGTGGAGGGCAGAGAGGGTAGGGGTAGGAGGGTGACAGAAGGCACATTTGAAGACGAGGGTCTTGAGGCAGGCCGAGAAGGAAGCAAGGGAGGGGGCAAGTCAATGGGACAGTGAGATGGAGAAGGCCGGAGCCCCTGAGTAGAGGAAGTGGATAGGTCTGTATGGAGTTAGGTCACAAAGATAAAGAGCAAGGCAATGGAGCTGCTTTGAAAGCAAGGAGGATTTTGAACTCTATCCTCTGGGGAATAGTGAATGAGTGGAACCAGGCAAGGATGGGGGGTGATAGATTCATGGAGCTTGGTGCGAATCACCAATTTTGTCATACCCGGAGCGAGTCTGATCAAATGGATAACACCACATCCTGCGGGTGAATGCAGGGGCTGAAGCTTTGAGATGCTCCCTGGAAGCCAATCTGAAGGCATCCAACATCTGTCTGGCTTTTATGTCAGCAAACAGGCCAGTCAAAAGCTGTCCTTTGGTCGGGATTGAAACAGTCCAGCCTGTACATGAAGGCAATTCCCCTAACCTCAACTACTCTAAATTTATCAGGAGAGTTCCATGTGAGAAACCTAAAATGGCAAGTCTATATGAGAGGGAAAGCGAGGAACAAAACCAGTTAAATCTTGTTTTGTGTTTAAACCTTACATATAAGGGGAATTCTGTAACTCAGTGGTTAGAGCACTCGCCTCGCAAGCAAGAGAACCTGGGTTCAATTCCCGGCAATGTGAAACGTTGGGCAAGGTTCCTTACTCCACATGCCCCTGTTTACCTAGCAGTAAGTAGGAACCCAGTTGTCAGTCGATTGGCAATCACTTTTCCGGGGGTGATTTTTTCCCTTAAAAAAAATTTGATCACTCGATCCACCACAGTTTGTGGACAATGCTGTGCGCAATTGGCTGCCGTATTTTGCCCACAAACTATACAATCAATTTACTTTACAGTATATCCTGTGAAGCGCTTTGAAACTTATCGAAGACATGATAAGGCGCTATATCAAATGCAAGGATTATTATTCTTATTCTCGAAGACGCGATGAGCCGCTATGTCAAATGAAAGGATTATTTATTATAAAAATAATTCACCGAGGATTTCCTTCTTTATATATTGGTTCCAGACATGGTCCATAGACCAGCCTTTGAACTGGAGTTAACTGAAAGGCAATAACTATTGATGGGTTTAAACTAGAATCAGTGATACTCAACAGTTGAACTCAAGTCTTTCTTCAGATATGAAAAGTTCACCAAGTCATCCTTACAAGAACATACACAAAGCACAAAGCAAAAAGATTGAAATTTGCTGTGAATGGATGTTCAGGCCAGAGAGAAAAAGGCAAAACAGACGGATATCTTTCTGCCATACTACTATATTCCATCTTTCAAAAAGAAAGACATGATTTTTAATATTACTTAACAATATGTTAAAAAAGTAGCCAGTTAGGCTTCAGTGTTAATACAGTTATACACTCTATAACAGATCCATAGTGTGAGTATTGTTCTTTTGAAATCATTCTGCAGGTATTCTTACACAAGCTGGCTACAAGTCAGAAATCAAACACAATATAGCGTAACTTGTACACTTTAAACAGTGAATTTGAGAAGGAGTCTGGAGGCAACTGGATTTCATCGAGTCCAGCCTGAGCTTTTCCTTCATCAAACCTTTTGTTGGGGAATGCTGGAGGCGAGGGGGTGGGAGGAATAAAAATGACGAAGTCCATTCCCTTGTCAGTAGTCGGATTGTATGTACAGTGCTGAACGCAGAAGTGAATAAAAAGATGCAGCTGATGATGCAAGGAGGGAATACACTGACCTTCACCCAAGTTAAAGGTTGGGAAGAACACTGGGCCATGAGGAGCAGAAGAGTCAGAGACAAAAGTTGCTGGAGCTCCAACCCAACCCTAGCAGGTTATGGCTACTGTCAAACAAGTCCCACTCACAGACTACAAACACACAAGCAAACAAAATCGGGTAAGGAAGTGGCTAACAGCCAGCCACTCGCTCTCCAAACTGCAAGAACATCAGGGCCAAGGTGCTCTGCACCTATGCCAGTGCAGAACCACACAGCAGTGGAAAAAAGGCAAGGCAGGTCCAGATCAACAACCTGGTTAGCTCTCAGCCCAGCAGAGTATATCCGATTGAAAATGTTTCAGCAGAGTCACAGTAGGTTCCTGCAGGAACGTTTCAGTCTGATCAGTGAGCAGCAAAGGTGGCTTTCTTCAAGCTGAAGTTGGACCAGTTGATGGAGAGTCTCTGCCTGGTTTGCCGGGCCGAGTCTAAGCAGAACCTGTAAACCGACAAATGCAGAGTATGAGAGTGTGAGACCGTGAGCATGGTCGAAAAGGAAGGTTTTCACGCGGGACTTGAAAAAGGGGAGAGAGGGGGCAAAGCGGAGGGATTGAGGGAGTGTTCCAAACTTTTAGGGCAGAGTGGCTGAAAGCGTGACCTCCAATGGTGGAGCGGAGGGTGCGAGGGACAAGCTGGAGGCCGTTGCCAATCGAGTGGAGGCATCGGGTGGTGGATTGGGGGAGTGAGGAGGTCGGAGAGCTAGGAGGTCAGAGAGCTGCCAGGGAGTGAAGGGATTTGAGCACGATCCGTTCGGTGATCGGGAGCCAGTGGAGCCTGGCCAGAACTGATGAGATGTGGGTACAGAGTTTGCTCTGGGCAATTATGTGAGCAGCAGAGTTCTGAATGAGCTGTATTTTTTGAATAGTGGAGCTGGGGAGACTGGCAAGGAGTGCGTGTGAGTAATCCAGGTGGGAGGTGACTAATGCATGCTCGAGGATTTCAGCTGCATTTGGGGTAAGGTACAGTCAGAGACGGGCAATGTTGCGGAGGTGGAGGAAGGTCAGGAACTGGATGTGGTGAAGGAAGGACAGCTGGGGGTCGAACCGGATGTCTAGACTGCACACTGGTTCGGTGAGTCTGAGGGAGAGCCCAGGGAGGTTGAGGAGTTCAGATCCGTAGGACAGACGAGACATACTGGCAGAATTTCAGCGCACACTCTGGGGCCCCCAAGCCTTGGCTAATGCCAACCTGTGCCTAATACTTCCTTGAATTTGGTAAGCAGGATGCGTCTCTCCAGGGAGAGAAGGCACATTCCATTCCAACAATCTATCACTGGGATCGCCATGTGTCGATGGAATGCATGGAGTTCTCAGTTTAGTTTGGATACTCTTAAGCATGGGGATGGGTTTCCCTATGTGTCAGATACCTGGCTGACCAAAAAAATGATAGAATTTAATGAGCAACATCTTAATTACCTCTTGAAGTATTCAACTTCCCGTTCAGTTTCGTCCATCTCCACACTGTCCAAATCAATGTCTTTAGGTAGGAACACGTCATCTATTTAAAAGAAAATTAATGCTCAAATTACAGAATATTTTTCAATTATTGCACATAAATGATTTTATGTGGCATGTATTGAAAGAATTAAAACAATGATATTCACTATAAACTAACTTCTTCAGTTTATCTCCACTTACAAGATTTCAAACACTTCATTGAAGAAAATGTCATTACTGTCTTTCAAAGTAATAGAAACCTTTGAAAATTTGTGTCACAGTGATTAATTAGCAATTAAAATTTTGGTAACATTTAAATTCCCTTTCAAATCAATCATCCAGTGCAGACCTTTCCCTATCGCATGGTTTTGTTGCTATCTCAGATAAAAAAGTGAGTAAGCCAGAAGTGTGCATGCTTGTTCATTCTACGCAAACATTGTAATGCACGGGCCACATCTCCTAAAGCACATTCCTCAAACAATGGCTTGAGTAACAAGTAGCTCCCACCCAGACGGGTGGTCCAATATTCGCACAGCGCCGGAAACAGGAGACATCCATTAAAAACACCAAAGTTGTAGGTGCAGAAGTTGAGACCAGATGCCCTTGTTGCCTGGAACTGATGTGTAGTCTGGGGACTACAAAGAACAGACAATCCAAGTCAGTGGTAAGGTGTTTTTCATGATTATGTTAATCTTTATTAGGTGCACTGATGCAGCTATTATAAGGTGCTTTTTTAAGGCCAACTGATCAGAGGTTTATAAAAAAAATTGCAGAGCTTTAATGTCCACAAGAAATAATAAGTACAGTGGGTGTTGCAGTAAATTTTCAAACACATTATCAGAGCTCCCCCTGGTGGTAGAGATGTGCTGCACAAGTACAATTTACATTGGGGGGAAATCTACCTTTTTGACATAAAATAATTTCTGCTATAAATAATAATCCTTGCATTTGATATAGCGCTTTATCATGTCTTCGAGACGTCTCAAAGCGCTTCACAGAATATACTGTATAATTATTATTATTTTTTGAAGGAATTACCACCCCTGGAAAAGTGATCCGCCAATCGACTAACAACCAGGTTTCTATTTGCTGGTGGATAAATAGAGGTGTGTGGAGTAAGGAAACTTGTCCAACTTTTGGCCCTGCTGGGAATCAAACCCAGGTCCCTTGCTTTGTGAGCCGAGTGCTCGAACCACTGAGCTAAAAGACTGCACAATGATCCGCTATGATCAGAATGTGGTAAAGTTTCAGGTTCTTTTGAAATTTCTTGCCTAGAGCTGTATTCCCAAACTGATGAGCAAACATTACTGAATATAATGAGAGATCACCTGTGGAGTTCCCGAAGAGCATATCCTTCTCTCACTCAACCAGCTTGAGGCTGGGATTTCCAAACAATGATGCTGAAGCCTCATATGACCAACAGATTTTTATAAATGAAAATTACAGGGTGACTCCATTAATAAGTTCCACCGCCCTGTTTTAGTCACAGCAGTGGTGTTCTGTGAACCTAACCAATAACACGGCACACCTGGTTTCTGGCGCTGGTAATTTATATAATTCCATTTGGAATAGACAGCAATAGGAATTTAGGAACAGGAGAAGAATATTTGACACTTCACGCTTAATCTACCAACAACCATTCCATGGCACTTTATACTGTCACCTCATATGATTTGATATTATAGCATGATTTCTGGAAAAGGAAATTCTTATTGCTCACAAAAGATACAATTGACAATTTAACTAAGAAAATAGTTAAATTTTCTTATTTCACCTCCACTTTGAAATATTGCTTTTAAGGAAATACAAAACTTACCAATTGAATTGTTGAGCTTGTCACTTTTCTTCTTCTTGTTTTTCTTGTTCTTTCCTTTGAGCTGAGGCGATTCAGCAGTGTTTTTGTGGATTTGCTGTTGCTGTTGCTCATTTGGAGTTTCAATCACTATAGGTACCTTGTCTTCTCTCACATGGTTCAGTCTCTTGCCGTTTACTCCTCTTCTCTCTTCTTTTCTCTGCTCTGTCACCATTTGGCACTCAAGCAGCTTTGGTTTGGATGCTCCCAATTCTGCCTGACACTTTGTGGAGGTCTTCAGGGGGACTTCACAGGATCTGAAGCCCTCCGTTGGCTTTCGTTCAGTACTAAGTTTGGTTGCTTGCGGTTTTAACTTCTGCCTACCATTTAACTCCTCATACACTGTTGTGGTGTCTGCACTATGGTTGTTATCAGGCTGCTTAGCCCTTGCCTCCCTTTGAGCTTGAGACTGAGAGTGTCTGGGGTCTCTCCCATTTGCTGGCAGTTGATGTGTTGGATGAGGTTCTGGCACGACTCTTTGCTCTTCTTTGTTGTTCACCTGTGTGGGTGGGGGATGAGTAGATTTTGCTAGAGTTTCCAGCTGCTGGCATTTGCTGTTATGAACGACATCCACCATGTCTGGGGCTGATTCCTTCAACTGCAGATTCTGTAGAAATGCATCACTTTTTTGTGATTCTTTTGTTCGCTCCTTTTTCTTTTTCTTAGCAGATCTGATTTGCTGCAGCTCCTGAAGCCGCTGCAGCTCCTTTTTTAGCCTCTCTTCCTCCTCTTTCTGCCTCTGCTCTTCCAGCAGTTGTAGTTGCTCTCTTTCCCGGGCTTCGGCCTCAAGGCGAGCTTTCTCTTCCTGCTGAAGGAAACAGCAATAAGTTTAGGGAGCTTAGGCTGCAGGCGAGAAAATGAGGGTAACTCACCAGTGTCCCTATTCCTCAATTAACGTTCCCCGCCACAAGTTGAAGGCAGCAATTCGCAGTATGAAGTAGTGCACCAGCCCCTTTGAAATTTCACTTTCCGTGTTACTATCCATACCAAGTCACCTTTCCAACTCTTTCCATCAAGCTACCTTACTTACAACAACAACAACAAGATTCCATTTACAGAGCACCTTTCACGTCGGGAGGACGTCCCAAGGCGCTGACATTTTCACATAGTAAAACACGTCTTATGATTAGCTCCGGCTAATCAAACTGGAGGCCCATGGGCCACACCCAGCCCGGGAGGTGATTTTATTCGGCCCGCAAGTCATTCCCAACTTCCTTATCCGAAGAGCAAATACAGGCGACGCACAGATCCTGAGCCAATCAGGAGACAGTCACCGGGGGTTTAGGCGCTGCCTGACAACGGGACTGACCAATCACGAGACGGTCACCAGGGTATCAGGCTCCGCCTGGCAACGGGACTGACCAATCAGGATAAAATATTGCTTATGTGGCCCATGGACATATCTCAAATCTGGCATCTGGCCCTCAGCAGCCAGAAGGTTGGACCACCCTGATCTTGCTGATACAATAATGCTCCTGATCCTGGAAAAACCAGACCAACACGCATCGTGCAACTCATTTTGACATATCCGAAAACTAAACTTGCTCATGTGCTTAGATGGGGAGCGTGAAGTTGCGCTTCAAATATCTTGCGTCATTTGCAGTTTGATATTCTGCACAAAGCTCCAAGGAATACCCAGGAAAGAATTGGAAGATAATAAAGCATGGCATGAATAAATTCAACTCATCAAGCTCGTTTCTTCTCGCAAATCATGTACAATTATTATGACTATTCTGTATTTCACTCCACCCACTGATTCAATCTCCTAGGGGAAAATTGTACTTTATCATGTCAAACATCTCAAAATACAGAGCATATGTTGGAATCTTCTACGCACAAATCTGATTAGCTTACCACATTTTTCACATTACCATGTACCAGATGTGAAGTTAAGGCTCCAAATGATCTGGCAGTAATACAACAAGAAGCAAATTGAAAATTAATCCATCTTCCTTCATCTTCTTGGACGCGGTTTCATTTTAAATAGCGAAGGGAAAAAAAAACTTATAAAATCGTATTCCTCAACAATAAGATTTTGAATCCAATTTATTTACAATTCACCGGATACAAAATGGATCATAGCTTTCCCCAAAATTTCCTATAAGTTCATATAACTCACAAAGCATTCGCCAATTTATAATTTGGGAATTCGTTATTTACCAGTACGTTACACTTCTACTGTTAAAATAAAAACAGAGTAATCCAAAAAAATGCAATCCAATTTTCCAGCTCTTGCCAATATCCCTTAATGTTTTTACTTAGGTGCTTATTCACATTCCTTTTGTATTCTGATCACAATCAAAAGAACCTGCATCGCGTTGGAGACAGACTGGGCTCCAAACACAACAGCAGTCCGGAACAAACAAATGAGTTGTGCATATTGGGTGCAATGTCACCCATTGGAAACAAAGACAGAAGCAAGTATTTACTGTTCAGAGGTTAGTTTTTAGCCTCACGATGGAGAGAAATCGGTTACCTTTCGCTGCTTGTGCCGTGCTCGTTTTGCTGCCCTTGAGCTGCTGACTGGTTTGGATTCTGTGCTATTTATAAACTGTAATAGATCTTCTACTTTTCTATGATCTACGATTTGCTCCTTTTCAAGGATCTGGTCTGCTTTCTTTGGCTGCTCCTCTTTACGCTTCGTAAGTCGCAAGCGCAGTTTCTCCCGCATTTCTGCATAATTTCTACTTGTTGGTGCAGCTGGCGGCTGAAAAATAACAGGGAATTAATATTCAGTGGCAGCCTTTGGATCCTTTTTAAAGAAAACAGATCACACTTCTGATTAAAGTGTTCTAATCGCATTTAGCAGCACATTTTGCACAATAAACTTAACACTTCTGTCTTTACAAGTACAAGACGAGAACTGAATGAAAACCACACAGGGCTCAATGTTTAGTGAAGAACAGATAGATAAATCTCGATAATCTTAGAGACTAATGTGAACTATTTCCAGCCACCTGAGCTGGGGTTACGATCAGATTTCATGCTAAGAAGTTACTGCTTTATTTTTATTGAAACAATTTTTCAACATCATGGTTTCAATTCTACCTGCACTGTGTTGGATCAAAACCTATGATAAGGCATTAGCTAATACAGCCACTTCTGCATTGCAATCTGTTTATACCTTTACACCGATGCATAGCGGCACAGGCACTTACACCCACTGGTAACAAGCGCCCAGCCCAAATCCTCTATTTTTTATTAAATAACAAGCTCGTCACAAACATTGACAGAATATAACTGAAAGTGAAGGAGAATGCTTCCAGTATGCGATGAAACAAAAAATAAAGATCACTTACCCCGCCATGCCCAAAGAATTCACAGTAGCAGCAGTCACAGTACTTTCCTTCTTTCTGATTAGTTGATGTTGAGGTACTAGAGCTGTGTTCTGAGCAGCTATCTTCATCCTGACTTTCCTCTCCATCAAACGGCTGATGATCGTACACGTTATTGCTCTCGCACGGGTGTCCCTCACAGTCTGGGTCACTACAGAAGTATCAAATTAACCATTTGTTAGACCAGAAAAACATTTGTGTCTGGGAAAGAATACAAAATACTTTTAAGATTATTGCAGGTTCACATACCCGCTGGTTATAAAAATGTGTTGAATTTGTAATTAGATCGTCAGTTAATTCCAACGAATTATAAAAATTCCCCACATTGTACGTATAATGAATAGAGCAGTCCTTCAACGGAAAGTGAAAGTGCAAAAAAACACACGTAGTTAAATAAAATTAGAATTTTTGCTCCTTCCAACTCCCATGATCTGATACACAGTATGTTCAGATGTCATTAACATGATTAACATACACCGAGACCCAAAATATCACCTTGCCTTAGGCTGTAAGATTGTCCAAAATGGGGAAATTTCTTCAAATCAGTCTCAATTTGGAAGCCGGTGCTTATTAATAATTGCTCAAAATTAAGGCTGAATTCAATTTTCCATGATACTGCACGATTTTAGCATTCTTGAGCAAAAAACATCTTATAGGCTAAGACTGGGTAGAATTTCAGGCTACCGGAGTCACAACTGTTATATAGCCACAGTAAAATAAATGTGCAAATTTTAAGCAGGCTAAATATGTCCCAAACTAATGCAGTCTTGATTTATGCAGCTTACAGTATGGAAACTTGAGTGTACAATTCCGTTGAAATTGTTGAATAGCCGCAATATTCACAGGCACACATTGTGTACTAACCTGCAGACACTGGCGGAGGCACTGACTGAGCTTTCTGTAGTAGCTGCAGGGGGTGCTGTTGTGGTTGGACACAGCCCAGAATGGGGATCTACAAAACCTGGGGCTGTTGAAGCTGTCTTTGGGAAGGGTGCAGTCACAAGATTAGGCATGTGAGGTGCAGAGGCAGGGGACACTGGCGTGGGCGTGAGAGATGGAAGAGAGGTTAAACCTGTGGGGCTGTTCCTAGGTGCGACCGGTGTGGGATGTCTGTGGTCCTCTTTACCTAAATTATGGAACACTTCACCTGTGCCCAAAATAAAACAAAGAGATGACTTGTAACACTGCACATTTTACAATTTGGCTACAGTGTTTTCCCAATTCGAAGAATGCATAATAAATACAAGAAATGACAATGTACTAGTACAAACCAGTTACCCAAGACAACACAACTTAGCACCAGTTTCTGGAACAAGGCCACAATTTATGGCGTCCCACGGTTCCATCCAGTTTTGTTAACATTTCAGAATTACGAGCATGCAGTTAAAAAAAAAGTTGAAAAACAGAGCCAAGCGATAGAATATTGGTTTGCAGACTTTCATAGTCAGCTGAGATATTAAACTGTGGTGGTCTCGGCCATCTGTTCTTGGGATCAGGTAAAAGATCCCTCGACACGATTTCAAAGAGCACAGGACGCGGCGGGGGCCTGAAAATAATCATGTCTTAGCCTTACAAACATGGTCTTCAAAATTCAGATTGAATTTAATTTCTTTGCACAATCTTAATTTCGGAAGCTGGTTTTCTGAAGAACTGAAAGCTAAGACCACAAGAAATTTCAGGCCTTTGGTGTCTGGCCAATACACCCCAGCCAAACTCAACAATTGTAACATTGATTCAATTTGGTGATTCAATTTATAGCTGGTAGAGAGTAGCTGCTGATACATATGTATGGAACCGTCAAATTTCAAAAGAATTTACTATGATTTTTTTGAGACAATTCAACACAAGGCGTGAGATCAAATGCAAGTGTTAGTATTGTGTTTTAGTCATCTGCAGCTGGTTACCTATATCCACTTCCCATAGCTGGAAGGCTATCAGATAAAACAACCTGCAGAAAACACTCAATCTGACCCTCCTGATTACAAATCAAGGAGTACTCCGTAGTATGGCAGCCATGGGAAAATCAGCCTAAACGTTCTATCCATCCAGTTGGAGCAGAATGTGTGGTAGGTAACTGACCCGCTCTTGGAAAAACCACAAGTTAGTTGACCGTACAAAAGCATACACAGTAAAACTTGCATAAGTTGTATAAATCGTATAATCGCCCAAGTCGTACATCCACTCTTCAACTCTGTTGAAGAGTTTAGATTCTATGCAAGTTTGCCATTACTCACTGTACATAAATCATATTAAATGTATAATCCCAACTGATACAACTTATGTGAGGTATACAGCATATATATTAACCATCTCAGACCTAGATTTGGAGCACTTTTGACACACATGTATGCATAGAATAGCAATACTCGATACAGAAAGGAAATCTTTTGAGAAGCAGGAGAAATGTTATTTTTAAACAAATCTGTAGCTCCTCATCAACTCAACATATGCACTACAGAAAGTGAATAGTGAATAAATAGAAAGTTGAATATGATCATTCACTCATGAAAGAAATCTGCAACTCAGTACGGATACTGTCAGGTTGAGTTAAAAAGTCTGAGTGAGAATAACATGTTAAGCAAGTTCCTACCCCTATTCTCTCTGCATTTCCTCATTAGCCATATCACATGCATCAATTAAAGAATAAACCTTACCTGGTAACATATAGCTCTTTACTGCACAAAAACATCCCAACCTACGTATAGATTGCCAAACACTTCACAGCACAGATTTTGCAAATGGGTATAAATGTGACATAATGCAAAACACAGTCTCAACAAAAACACAGTCTCAACAAAACAGATTTGAATAATCCTGGTCAAAGGTTGAAAAGAAAGTAAATTCTGATTTTTACCCAGAGATGTAGGCCTTTTGGATGAAACCTTGAACTGATTGGAGCTGGATTGCACAGTAGTGGCTGTAGACGAGACAGAGGAAGTGGCTGAGGAAGTGGCCATGATAAATTTGTTTGCTTCCATGGAGCCAGGATTGTATAGACATTTTTTCCTTGCAGCGGGTTTTTTCTCCTTGGTATCTGCAACAACGGTGTCAGTGCTGCTTGTGGGAAGAAGAGCTTCTGGACTAATCTCAGTGAGTGCTGACCCTAACACATCACCTGTGGATCAATGAAGGATACAGATGACTTTGTGTAAGAAATTGTCTTAGAATTGCAATATGAACATAAAAACTTTTTTATTCTTATAACAAGATATGACTTTCAATGTAATACCATTCATTATTAAAGTTAAATTTATTCTCTTAAATTAGAATTGGACACTGAGCATAAGAAAAAACTAAAACACCAGGTACTATAAAACATATACACAAAGGCTTAGTTTAAGCCTTTTTCAATTTCAGTTAAGGAGAAATATTATGAAATATGCTTTTGTTATTACAATAGCACAGATCTGAAACAGTGTTTTCTCAGAACATAAAAAACATTCAAAGTTATGACCGTAGAAACCAGAACACAAAATTCAGTTAGTAACCACTCACATGAATAGGATAACGGCTCTCTCTTTCTCAAACTTAACCCAAAAAACGTGTAAACAGACAGGTCCTTACCAGACAAGGATTCTGGTAGGAACGCAGCAGGACTCCATGGTTTGTCTCCATTTATTAGTTCTGATCCCCAAAGACTGGCTAACTTGTGGGATGTAAGGAGTGGATTGTTCCAGTCAGAAGTACTGCCAAAACAACTTGGATAGATGTGATCCTGGAGGGAGGCGTTGAATACCTGATGCTTGTTAGAGTGATTAGGAGCTGGAGCTGAAGGAAGAGTCTGAAAAATTAAATTTTAAAAAATGTCGTCACTCAATCCACGACTGTTTTGTGGGACACTACTGTGTGTGATTGTCTGCTGCATTTCACCCACAAAATATACCATCAAATCACTTTACAGTATATTCGGTGAAGCGCTTTGTGACCTCTCAACGACGTGACAAGACGCCATATCAAATGGAAGTATTATTTTTAATAATCTTACTTGTCTGCTTATTCATTTCTTCCCACAACACTTTTATTGATAAATAAACAAACATAATCCTTGCATTTGATAATATTCGTCACATTTGGTATTGCACCTTTCATATTAGGAGGACATCCCAGAGCGCTTCACAGGATATACTGTAAAGCCTCGATCCGTCTAGCACATTAATTTAACAATAAAGTTTGAGATCAGCCCAATAAAATAATTGCACCAGGAAATCTGGTCTGAGTGAAGGGGGAAATTACCAGGTAAGGCCTTACCTTGTGTGTGAATGGTGGGGTTGTTGCATACAGAGTTGGATGAAGGAGAGGTCGAGGCAGATGGGGGATGGTGTGCAGTGGTAAATGCCCGTGGATATGGGGATAAAGATGAAGAGCAGGATGGGAAGGCTTCTCTGTGGGTAAGAACTGGTGGCCACTGGGAAGACGTCCAGCTGCGAGTACAGATGTATTCAGACCAGAAGCCTCTTGCTTGCAGACATGACATTCACAAATGTTCTGAACCTGGTCAGCCTTGGAGGGAAAAACAATAGGAGGAACATTTGGAACAATTTTTAATGTCTTTATAAATCTGTGACGTATCACATGACTTTTGACGCCACAAATTCCACCCCTTCTTCATCCTCAAAACTGGTTTGTATCAAAATTGTGGAACATTCTAAAATTAATTAAGCCTTAATTTGGAAGCAATTTTTTTTTGATATATGTGGACAATTGGCTTCCAAATTAAAATTGAATTAAGAATTTTGCATATTTCTGCACAGACAAATTGTAAAACAAAATGTTTTTCCAGGCTAAGGCTTGGACCTGTGGTAGTTCCTAATTTTAAATCAACAAAAATCAGTACTTAATGGGTTTTCTAATTTTTTCCAAACCAAGGAAAATTAATTCCAATCGTTAAATATGCAAAAATGTTCAATAACATGTCCCAAGATCGCATGCTGAACATGTCTAAAGTCACTCCGTTTATAATAATAATAATCCTTGCATTTGATGTCGCACCTTTTCACCTCTTTGAGACATCTCAAAGCGCTTCACAGAATATACTGTAACATGGATTGATTGTGTATTTTGTGGGTGAAACGCAGCAGCCAATTTTTTTGGAAGGGATTATTATCCCCGGAAAGCGATCCACGTAATGGACTAACAACCAGGTTCCTACTTACTGCTAGGTAAACAGAAGTGTGTGGAATAAGGAAACTTGCTGAAGTTTTCGCCCCGCCTGGGAATCTAACTCGGGAATCTAATTGCGAGGTAAACCCTACAGGACCTTTGTCGCAGGAAGTGACAATACTGCCAGCTCATAGTGTGCATGCATGCACAAAATGTGAAGTTTGTGGCAACCTTACAACCCAGATATTGGCCATTTTTGGAGTTAAAAAGGTCATTTTAAAATCATGGGGAAATAAATGTTGATCATCTGTCGAATTTCTAAAAAAAACAGCAACACTAGTTAAATTGTAGAGGCTTGTGCTTGTATAAACATAGAAATGCACCAGGACCCAGGAGAATTTGGCAGTATACATTTGTAAAATAAATTGTGCTCTAAGGTTCTTTTAAAAATATGAAGCTGTGATTACCTGCTGACTGGGATACGATGGTGGTGGACTGTCCCTCCTCGATTCTTCTTTCCTTGCTGCTCTTTTTACAGTTGTTTCCTCTTTATGTGACACAGGAGGTTCACCGCTGCTCTCCCCATCATCACCATCATCAACCTCTGAAGAACTACTACTTGTGCTGCTCACCTGGGGAGACTGACACCCACACCCACAACATTAACGAGAATGGGAAGGTATCTATTTACAAACATTCGTTAGTCACAACCTTGGAAAATCTGCGGCCGTTTCCTCAAGAAATGCCACCGCTCATAAACACAAATAGGAAGAGACTAAAAGGAAGAGACTAAAAGGGAAAGGAGAACGATACTCCAGAGTTGGGCACACAATCAGAACTCTACATGTGCCATCAAATGTGAAATGCAGACTGATTTAAAATAGAAATAAAACAGGATGGTTCATAGAAATGCACACATACCTCATCTTTTAGTGCCATGTTTTCACCTCCACCATTCAGTTCACCATGGATACCATTCATGTTGGCTACAACTTCAGCATCGTCATAACTGTTCAGTGGGTATATGTCAGCAAAATTGGCTGATAATGGTGCAACATCTTCATCGTCACTTCCACTAAGAAAAACGAGCCACGTGTGACCACATTACTCAGAGACATGGTTACAAAGAGCTTTGTTTTCACAAAAGGCATTCCATAACTTCCTTCCACACAACACATTTGTAGCACTTACATATGTGCATTTATTTGAACTTAAGACTCAGGTTTGCTGTTTTAGGATTTGTTCACAAAATCATTCTGCGCGAGACAGGTTCTAGTTTAGTAAGTTCCTTTGATGTTGTAAAATAATAATCCTTGCATTTGATATAGCGCCTTATCACTTCGAGATGTCTCAAAGCGCTTCACAGGATACATCATAAAGTCAATTGATTGTATATTTTGTGAGCAAAACGTGGCAGCCAATTGCGCACAGCAGGGTCCCACAAACAGTCGTGGATTGAGTGACCAAACTATTATTATATTTTATTTTTTTGAAGGAATTATTAGCCCCGGAAAAGCGATTCACCAATAACAACCGAGTTCCTACTTATTGCCAGATAAACAGAGACGTGTGGAGTAAGGAAACTTGCCCAACGTTTCACCCCACCCATGGATTGAATGACCAAATTATTATATTTTTTTATTGGGATTATTACCCCAGGAAAGCCATCCACCAAAATGCCTGACCACAAAAGATTGAGAATGCCTGAGCACTTACAAGGTGGGGGCGGAGTTGCTGTCAGTGAGAATGAGTCGCGGGTGCTGCTGAATGGTGATGGGCGAGCTGGAGCCAGATCCTGAGCTGGCAGATGACATACTAGGCGGACGTATTTCTGAGAGGTAATCGGGAGCAGATTCCACTTGCAATGGTAACGTGTTGATAGAAAGATCATCAGGAATGGGAGAGTCCATGATACCACAAGTGAGTATATGAGAGAGGCTGCAGTCATCGCAGGTACATCTAAAAATAATTGAAGTTACGTCAAATTGTTGGGTGGAATAGAAGTGTTACTCTGAGCTGGCCTTGCAATACTTAAATCATTAAGTGATCAGTGTGGTTCCTTGAAATTGTACTATTCTACTCCTTAGAGCTGAAGCCATTGCCTTGAGCATAACATCAACTTGCATTTAAATAGAGCCCCTCACACCGGACGACATCTCAAATAATAATAATAATAATAATAATCCTTGCATTTGATATAGCGCTTTTCACGGCGGGAGGACGTCCCAAAGCACTTCACAGAACACACTGTAAAGTGAATTGACTGTATATTTGTGGGCGAACGCGGCAGCCAATTGCGCACAGCAGTGTCCCACAAACAGTCGTAGTTTGAAAATGACCAATTTATTATTGTTTTGGGTTTTAGAGGGATTATTATTAGGCTCTGTGTGGAGTAAGGAAACTTGTCCAAGGTTTCGCCCTGACCTGCCTGGAATTGAACTCAGGTCTCTCGCTTACAAAGCGAGTGCTCTAACCACTGAGCTACAAGACTCCATCTTGGGTTGGGGTGGGGGAAAAAGGCAAAGTTGTAGATCAAAGGCCGCTAAAGTATTAAGGCTGTAATTATTTTACATACTCGATTTGTGCTATAACAACATTACAACTACTAGGAATTCACAGCAAGTTCCATCAAGAGAGTTAACCTGTACATTTACTATGGTGACTTGTCACATTAACAACAGCAACTTGCATTTATATAGAGCCCTTCACATGGATAGCATCTCGGAATACTTATAGACACACCGGATATGTTGGGTAGGATCTTGGAGCCCAATGGACACAGTGGACAGAAATTTAACTACATGGAAATGCTGGACACACAGTCAATTCTCAGAAAACTAATTAAACGGTTCAGATCATACAGAAGGCTGAAACGAGAAAGAATTTTTAGATATTAAAAATTCCATTCTTTCTCTTCCCAGCTTTCTCCCAATTGCTCCATGCAAGACACTTACCTTCGCCTGTAATTACAATTGGGACAATCAGGCATACTCAGGCGTGATGACAGCATATGCCTCATTGTATCAGTGAAATTATTCTCTCCGGTTAGTGCTTTCTTGCTGTTCGTTAGCTGGAAAAAAAATAACCCATTTTACTACGCTGAATTCGCATCAGAACATAAATAAGTTAAAAGCTCAACTTAAATAAGACAAGCTTGCTCAAAACAAGTTAGCTTTGTCCAGCACAATGACATGTTACTGAACTGCGTTACAGATTCATCAATATGAATATTTTCAGTCAAGGTACTTGCTACAAGGAGAATGCGACACAGGATATAAAAAGATATCCAGACCTTGTGCGTTCGAGCCATAATCACGCCACTAATTCATCCACACTCAAAATAAATCGTTGTTACATTAAATGTCATCAATAAACCTTTTATGGGGAGGCCATTGTGGACAACGTTTCTAAGGATAGCAAGGATTTGAAGTCATGTGAAACGTCTGTAATTTGTAAAAATATGGAGAAACCAAGCAAAGCACAAAAAAACTAATTCCTTTGTTATAATATCAAGTCAGTTGATCCGGATTTCAAAAAGGCCCTTCACTAATCGTACTTGAAAATTCCAAATGAAACAAGGCTGAGAAAAAAATCCTCAGAATTCAGGTTTTCATTACTTCAATGACTTCCTAAACATCATAGCAATAAACTGCAATATGTGCAACAGGTAACATCAGAAACAAACTAAACTTTGTCATTCGCTTTGTTTGAGGTTAATAGGAGACCCACCAAGAGCTGAAGATGTTGGTTACAGGGAATGAAGTGTGAAAACTAACTCTGACCCAATTCTTCGTAACCAACCAATTGTTGCATTAATGGTGCTAAGTCTGACCATCAGCTGTGTGTTTCTAACTTCTGATTTGGTGTTATAAATTGGTTAATAATGATTTCACATTTTTTACCTTGACTAGCATAACTGTATCAGTCACAGAGGAAGAAAAACAATTAGATTTCAAAACAATTACATTGATAATTGAGAAGCACATTGTAACCTTCATAGAGATGTCATGACATTTGAATCACAAATAATTCAAACAGCATTTTTTTTTGGATATGTTTGAATACTTTTAAAATAATAATAGTTTAAAAATCTGAATACTTATCCCTAATTACTGGTGAACTGGACAGGTACCTCTGTGACAAACGAAAGTGAGTATTTTACAATGTGACCCAAAATGTGTATTTTACAATCTCCAAAGTAAGCAAGATACGTCTATTTGGCCATTTTACCTGTTCTTCCAATAATCGCCGCTGTTTGAAGAATTCCCAGTCCTCCTTCAGCATTCGCTGTTTGGTTTTCATTGCCATCTGAGAAAGAAAATGCTATGTTTATACTTGGTCTAAAAATTATAGCACAGTTCTGCTAACTTGCAGCATTTGATGTTTGAAAGGCAGGTGGTCAGAACATCAATGAACCTGGATTCCCTTACATTTCCAGATAAAAATAACTTCGTTCTGCTGCATATATAAACATTTACTCCTATATCTATTTTTAATTCTCATCTACTTGTCAAGCACTTCGACAAAGTGAAACTAGTCTGCTATTATAATTCTTATTCACTCTTACCACCACACAAACTGAGTATAGAAAGATAATTCTAATGTTGTTAATAGCTAATGCTGACATTACACTGTGTTAAGATTGAGACACAAACAGTTTTAAAGCAGATATTTGAGGATTTGAGGTGATAGAGTGCTATGTGCCATGAAACAAGCGTTAGCACGTTTTGATGCCATATTCATCCTAGATTATTTTTTTTAGATTCATAGAATGTTACGGCACAGAAGGAGGCCATTCGGCCCATCGAGTCTGTGCCGACTCTTTGACAGAGCAAGTCACCTTCACTAACCCCAATCACCAGCTTTCTCCCCATAACCCTGCAAACCTGTCTTCTCCAGATACCTATCCAGTTCTCTCTTAAAAGCTGTTATCGAATCGGACGTCACTGCCCTTTCAGGCAGATCATTCCAAATTCGAACAACTCGCTGAGTGAAAAAATTTCTTCTAACCTCCCCTCTGCTTCTTTTGGTAGATATCTTAAGACTGTGACCACGGGTCACAGACACACCTACCAGTGGAAACAGCTTTTCCTTATCTAGCCTGTCGAAACCTTTCATGATCTTGAAGACCTCTACCAGGTCCCCGCGTAACCTTCTCTGCTCTAATGGGAAAAGTCCTAACTTCTCCAGCCATAGCTAAGCTTCTCCATTCCTGGTATCATTCTCGTGAATCTCCTCTGCACCCTTTCCAGTGCCTTAATATCCTTCCTGAAGTAAGGTGCCCAGAACTGGACGCAGTACTCCAGCTGAGGCCTAACCAGTGATTTTTATAGATTAACCATAACCTCCCTACTCTTATACTCTATGCCCCTACTAATGAAGCTCAGTACATCAAATGCCTTTTTTACTGCCTTATCTACCTGCCCCACTACCTTTAATGATTCGCTTACTTGAACACCCAGATCTCTCTGTACGTTCACCCCCCCTTAAGATTGAGCTACCAAGTCTATATTGCCTATCATTTTTCCTACCTAAGTGTATCGCCTCACACTTATCCACATTGAAATCCATCTGCCACATGTCAGCCCATTCCACCATTCTGTGTATGTCTGCTTGCAGTTGGTTACAGTCCTCCTCGCTATTTACTACCCTACCTAACTTTGTATCATCTGCAAACTTGGAAATAGTGCTCTCAATGCCCAAGTCCAGATCATTAATATATATTAGAAAGAGCAGTGGTCCCAATACCGATCCCTGGGGGATACCGCTGCACACCTCCTTTCATTTCGAGAAACACCCATTAACCACCACCCTCTGCTTTCTGTCACTCAGCCAGTTCTTAATCCAAACTGCCACTGTCCCCTTAATACCATGGGCCTCTAATATTTTTATTAATCTCTTATGCGGTACTGTGTCAAAAGCCTTTTTGAAATCCATGTAAATAACGTCCACCACATTTCCCTCATCAACCCTCGCAGTCACCTCTTCAAAAAATTCTATTAGATTTGTTAGGCAAGATTTGCCTTTAACAAATCCATGTTGGCTGTCTCTAATTACCTCATGTTCCTCTAAGTAGAGATTTATTCTGTCCCGGATTATCCAGCTACTTTTGGATTAAGAATTAGAATAGTTTGACTAGATAAGCTTTAGATTTATTTTGTTTACTAAAGTAACAAATATAGATACACAGGAATTTTCAAAAATGGGTTGTATCATTTTGTTTCCTGGGTTTCTCTAACTTTAGCTTTTTTTGCCACACACCATAAAACATAACAGTGAATGTATTCAGTAATGCAAAATGCCACATTAAACAGTGAGGCTATCTAATACAGATCATAATAATCCTTGCATTTGATATAGCGCCTTATCATGTCTTCAAGACGTCGAAACGGGCTTCACAGAATATACTGTTAAGTGAATTGACTGTATATTTTGTGAGCAAAATACGGCAGCCAATTGTGCACAGCAGTGTCCCACAAACAGTCGTGGATTGAGTGACCACATTTTCTTTTAAAAAGGGATTATTACACCAGGGAAAGGCGATCCGCCAATCAACTAACAACTGGGTTTCTATTTACTGTTAGGTAAACAGAGGCAAATGGAGTAAGGAAACTTGTTTAATGTTTCACTCTACCTGGGAATCAAACTGGGAAGATTACTTTATAGAAGCAGCACTACAGAACAGCAAAAGAGTCTTGCTTCCATAAAAATGTCTACTTGGTCCAGCTTGGCTATGGGTCATTGGTTACTTTTTCTTAAGTTGCAGTAAATGATATTTTCAAGCAGTGAAGTTAAAGGTTTTGTCAAATAAAAATAAGCCTCAAATGTTCAAACACTGACAAGCCACACTCATTTTCACTAACCACCTTTAATAATTTTCTTTAGTCGAAGTGCTTCATAAAAACAACCCTCACATAATTTGTTACTCCATTGGTGCACTATTGCAAAACTGAAAATTTGCAAAACATTCTCAACTCAAAAATACTTCACCTGTTCATCCACATAATCATCTATTCGCTTCTGACATTCCATCCACTCTGCAGACACTCTGTTCATTTCCTGGTCCATCTGGAGGTACCGCTGTAGTAAAGTACTGTACATGTCCTCACTGTATGCATCGTGAGATGCTGTACCCAGCCTAAAGGAGACAGTTTTAACAGGACAGTACGTAAGTACAAAACCAGAGAAGCAATCAAGGTACAGCACAATTACATAGAGGAAGATTTTCTGAACATTTTGCTCACTACTCAGTCAGCTTGGCTCAGATGGAAGAACACTCACTTCTCGGTCGGATGCTTATGGGATCACGCCCCACATGGAGTTTGAGCTAACAACCTAAGGTGACACTCCAGGGCTGGGGAGCTCTGCATTGTTGGAGGCACAGTCCTTTATAGGAGATGATAAACTGAGGCCCTGTCGGCCTGTTTTTTTTAGCTGAATGTTAAAACATCTGATGTAAAGAAAAGGGAATTTCTCCAAGTCTTGGCCAAAAATCAAATTACTCACCTCAAAGCTATTTGTGGGATCCCTGTGTACAAAAACAACAAACTGCATTTATATTGCACCTATCACATCAGGGGATTTCCCAAGGTGCTGGGCCGCCAACATAAACAATCACTTCACTTAACAGTAATATCTGCAACGTGGTTTTGAGATATTTCAACATGATAAGCCGTTATAAAAATGGGAAAATTAAAATAGGAAGATTTTTTGTTCTTACTAATGTGCTGAAAATATAGGGAGCAGAGGGAGGCTCGCTTCAGGTAGGTAACAGTAGTTAACTATATTGTTAAATGCCTTGGGATGTCCTCTCGATGTGAAAGATGCTATATAAATGTAAATTTGTATTGTGTTGTAGGTGTGGAGAATAAAATGGAACTAAAAAATTGGCTGCGTTAATTTCTCCAGATGTAGTCTGGTTAATAAACCAGTCAACTTTCCGTCTCTAAGTTTACTAAAATCCAAATTCACAGTACATCTCATCAAATTATACCAGAAAAAAAGATGGTTCTTGAAGTGTAGCTATCCAAATAAAAAAAAATCTTGCATTCAATTCCAGAAACATGGCAAACAGCCCAGTCAGTTCTAGATGGAGAGATGAGATTGTGCAATTCATTTGATTCATTACAAACCCCAACATTCACCTCAAAATTTTCATAAGACTCACAGAAACAAACACTATCTGCCAAGCTTTTCCATTTCTGAATGAGTTATTACAATGAGTTACTGAAGTGCTCAAATTGGCTAGAAGATAAAACCAGTGTGTGTATGTGTGTGCGTCAGAGTGCGCGTGTGGTAGAGTGCGCGCAAGCGTGGCAGAGCGTGGGCAGGGAGCGTGGGCGTGGCAGAGCGTGTGCGCGTGTGTGGCAAGGCGTGCGCGTGTGTGGCAGAGCGTGCGCGTGTGTGGCAGAGCGTGCGGCAGAGTGTGTGTGTGGCAGAATGTATGGGTGTGTATGTGTGGCAGATGTGTGTGTGACAGAGTGTGTGTGTGGCAGAATGTATATGTGTGTGTATGTGTGGCAGATGTGTGTGTGACAGAGTGTGTGTGTGGCAGAATGTGTGTGTGGCAGAATGTGTGTGTGGTAGAGTGTGTGTATGGTAGAGTGTGTGTGTGTGTTGCAGAATGTGTGTGTATGGCAGTGTGTGTGTGGCAGAGTGTGTGTATGGCAGAGTCTGTGTGTGGCAGAGTGTGTTATATTATTAGCTGGAGTTAGATTAGAAGATCAGCCATGATTGAATGGCGGGGCAGGCTCGAAGGGCCGAATGGCCTACTCCTGCTCCTACATGTTATGTTATGTGTGTGTTGCAAAATTATAGTTATTCAGTAAATCCTAAAAATCCAACATTTTAATCCATCTAAACTCTTCAAATAAGGAATGGTAAATATTGCAATTCTCCTTGCTCACAATGCACTCACACAGGTAAGTGGAAGCAGTTTGTTAACCAGATTATAAAATGAATGTCGTCAATGAGTAGCAATGTTCTCCAAAACGAAGTGCCTTATTTAGTATTAACTTTTCTGATGTGCATGACTGATGCTATGTTTTAATATTCTGATGCTCGGCACCATAATCTTTAAAAAGAGCTGATTGGGTTTGGTGGGGTGCGTGTTTGTGTGGCAGGCAGAGAGGAGAAAACATTTCCATAAAAAAACATCACAATTTCACAACAATTAGATTATTCAATCAGGTTTCATGTTGATAACGTGGTGACTGCTGAATGAGTTCACAAACCCAGGGATGGAAACTAACAGCCAGTAAACAGCAGCAAGTTTATTTACCAGCAGACGATTGTATGTTTACTCCATTAGAACGGTTAAGTTTTTTTCAGCTACCCACAGTATTGTTTGTGCTCCGCCTGGTTCGTTTCTTGCCAATTCTCCACTTGCTTCTTGGTTGTGTTTCTCTCTCTCTCTCTTTCCACCCCTCAACACTTCCACAGATAAGGCTACAGCCACAACTTCTAAGTTTGTGATCTTTGTAAAATTAATAAATAATATTGACTTTTGCTATCAGTGCCCAATTTGGAGATTACATTTTTGGGAGCTAGCGGTAGGGAAATGCTGTTTTCAACCACTTAATTTTCCACATGATAATGTCTCCTTTGCCTTACAATTATCAGGGCGAGCTGCGAAGCATGGGCCAGGCACTTTTCTACATAGAGGGAAAAGCAGCAAGATACAGAAAATGTCTTGTGCACCTCAAGAGCAGCATTGGTCACTTCTATTCTTGGAACACACAATATAAAATGTACCCTGTAAAAATGTCAATAGAAAGATACCAAGCAGAGAGGAAGATTTGAAAATCTTGGCTTATGTTCACATCTGAAGAGTTGTAAAAAAAAAGTACTTCAAGAAAATACTAACAGTCAATGGAGCATTGTGTATTCCCTGGCAATACTGACAAGGAACAGGAAGGAAAAGCCATGTGACTGAATGACACAATAAGCTGTTTAAAGGTTCGAGTTCTTCAACAACTTAACTTGTGAGATTTGCTAGTTAGGAACATTTATCCAAACATGTGAAGGACACAAATTTACTAAATTGTACCCAACTGAATAGCAAGTTGTTTCCACCCAAAGATAAAAATCTGATGGGTAATGACGCAAGCTATTTAAAAGTCTCATACTTGATCAAATTTTTCCTAAATGATGGTTTCTTACACACCTTATTTTGTGTGTGTGTGGGGGGGGGGGTGTTAGCACACTGGATTAGCACACCAGTCATTGACTTCTGGGTCCAGCTACAAATAACACGATGAACACTCCCCTTTTCTGCAGTCACTTCTTAAATTAAGTGACTTTGGTTCCTGGTAGTAGATACGCAGCTAGATTGCTGTACATATTCTCATCGTGGACAGTTTGCTCTCCAGCCACAAAGAAAGCTGGCATTCGAAATGGGCATGAATTAATAATAATACCTGTATTTGATGTAGCGTCTTATAACATTGTTGAGAAGTCTCAAAGCACTTCTCAGAATATACTGTAATGTGAATTGACTGTATTTTGTGGGTAAAATGCGGAAGCCAATTGCAGACAGCAGGTAGCATTATTGGGGCACAGTAGGGATTTACTCAAGCAGAGCCTGATGTTGGCATCGAGTGTTGAAAGTGGAAGTATTTAGTTGCAGCACTAGTATCCCCAGCGTTGGCAAGCACAAAATGATGGGCAAAATATACATTTGGACAAACTTGTGTGTAGTTTCTTAAAGCAAAACTCATATTTAAAGAGGTGGAACTCTTACCTGAGCTGTGCTACCAGTGCTGGTAGACTGCTCTGCAGAAGTGGCTCTGAGAAGACCAAGTTTTCAAACAGGTGCTTATTGTGAAGTTCCCATGTCACCTGGAATTTTTTCAAATGTTCACTTTCCTGTGACACAAATAAGTTCAAACACATTTCAACCACGGTCACATTTGCTGACTTTAGCTGAAAAGCTGGCAGTCCATAAATTATTTTCAGGTGAAATTCGGCAGTTGTTTGGAAAAGAGAAATATTAAAGAATATGGAGCTTGAACAGGAGAATGGGATCGGGTCCAAATCCCTGACTGTCTGCCGCCTTGGGATGTCCTCCCAATGTGAAAGACACTATACAAATGTAATTTTGTATTGTATTAGGTCAGGTGGCTTACAAGGCCAAAATGACCACAGCCATATTTCGATGAGCCAAATGGCTGCTTTTGTGATGCAACATTCTATGACCCCCTAAATTACAATTATATTTTTATGTCTATTTTACATAATTGCGCTGCACTGTTGGAAGCGCCATCCCTCGGATGAAATGTTAAACCGAGGTCCTGTCTGTTCAGGTGGACATTAAGGATCCCCTAACACTATTCAAAAAAGAGAAAGGTGTTTCTCCCAGTGTCCTGTACAGAAGCCCCCCAGATAAAATTGGTCATTCACTTATTTCATGGCTGTATGTGAAACTCTGCAGCGTGCAAATTGGCTGCTGTGTTCATCTACAAAATACAGTCACAATAATTTACAGTAAATCCAGTGAAGCGCTTTGAAATGCCCTCCTGATGTGAAAGGTGTGAAAAGCAACAATACAGGGATTGTTTACAACTCACCAGTGTGACGAGGAAGGTGCTGATTGTGCGAGCAGCTTGACAGAGTGCACTGTATTCCTCCAAAAGGAGCGAGATGAATTGATGAGCCTGTGGCGGTCCCTGCACCACAGATGTGACTTTGGATCCCAGTGACAGATGCCTGAGCAAGCGTACCTTCATTTCGAGAACATATTCCCTAGCTTGCTGTTCCAATCGTTGATAGAGCTGGTAGGGGTCTCGTTCACACAGCCTAAGGGCAGGCAGAAAAAAACAAAAGTCAAGCTCACAAAATAGGCTGTCAGTTTCAACTTTTTTTTAAAAAAAAACTTTCCTTATAATCCAAACAATTTTTAAAAACTTTTTAAAAATAAAAATCCAAATGAATTTTACATAAAGATAAATGTTTTAATTTATGTTGATGAAGTTTAAGAACATAATTGTAAAGGTTGGGTTAAAATCTTCAGTTGAGCAAAAGTTATGAATGGAACAATGTGTTTAAAGAGCTTTTTCAATCACTTTGCATTTCTTAATATGGAAACAAAACAATAAAGGAAAAGGATAAAGGAAATAAGCATAAGTACACAAGCTATCAGGTAAATGTACAGTCCAGTGGAGGTAGTGACTGAGATCCAGAATTCAATCCTCCTTAAGCACGTAGGAAGTAACTTAGGACGGTACAATTGAAGGCAGTTCCCAGGGTATATGATCAAGTAGGAGATCCACTGCATAAAGCTACCCACAAATATTCTGAATATGGCTGGCAAGTTTGCTCAGAAGCCACACAGATAGCTGGTTGAAACTGGACACAATTACAGTGGTGTAGTCAAGAAATTCTCCTCAGAAATTCACATTAAAGCAAAATTGTTTGGACAGAGGAGAGGAATCTTTACACCTGATTTTGCAGATTTGGAAATATTTGGAATTTAGATTAATTTTAAGTTAGGTCAAACTATTTTCACTGGAAAAAGATTTCCATTGGATAGCACACTGGGTTAAGTCCTTCAGCCGAATTTTATCATTGTGAGTTGGATTCAAAGTTTTCTCTCTTGATCAAGTATAATGATCAGTGAAAAGAGGTCGATTCAATGCAATCAGTCCCCAGGTGGTATCACAGCTTTCACTGTTTAAACTGTTCATTCTCCGTCAGGAAAAACATGGATGTCTGATGTGGGAAACAAATTTCATACAAACACAAGGAAGCTTAACTGAGTTGGGGTTACTGGAGCAGCCCTTCATTCATTGAACACCTTATCTGGAGTCCTGTAGCTCAGTGGTTAGAGCACTCGCTTTGCAAGTGAGAGACCTGAGTTCAATTCCAGGCAGAGGGCGAAACCTTGGGCAAGTTTCCTTACTCCACACAGAGCCTAATAATAATCGCTCCAAAACCAAAAACAATAATAAATTGGTCATTTACAATCTACGACTGTTTGTGGGACATTGCTGTGTGCAATTGGCTGCCGCGTTCGCCCACAAATATACAGTCAATTCACTTTACAGTGTGTTCTGTGAAGCGCTTTGGGATGTCCTCCCGAAGTGAAAAGCGCTATATCAAATGCAAGGATTATTATTATTATTATTATTATTTGCACTGAGATCCAGAGCCATCTCAGCAAACAAATCACAAAAGCATAAGTGTGTTTTATTGTGGGTAGTTTCATAAACCAAAGGGAAACGCAGCTACGTCTGATCTCTAAACCGTTCTTCACTAAAATGTGTCTGTGTAGCCTTACACACTTTTCACTGTACCTTTCTTATGCTTCTTTAAAGAAGCATCTAAGAGTTAAATAAATCCTTCTCCATTGTGTTCTGTAAATGGCTGTTAGGTAATCATGGTTAAAATATACTACAAAAGACCAGTCAAATAAATATGAGATTTACATAAAGATAAGAATATTCAAAAAAATTGAAGTCCAAGCACTATTCCAAAATCACTGTATAACAGTAAATGTAATAAACACTCGCCATCAATTGGACACTGCATTTCTCACCTACTGATCTAGAGAAAGGATTGGACAACCAGCAAGAAACTTACTGAAGCAACAAGAGAATACAGCCCCACAGTTGCAGCAATGTTAAAAGACTTGGCCTAGTGGGGTTGAAATATTTGGTTCTCAATAAACAGAAGACATTTGAGGATTCCATCTGGAGGCTGCTCTGGGAATAACTGATAGATATTATATGAAGCTGTTGCTCTTATAATAAAATAATAATAATAATATTATGTATCAGCCTGCCTCAGCTGGTAACACGCTTGCCTCTGAATCAGAAGGTTGTGGATTCAAGCCCCACATCGAGACTTTGGACTCATATAATCATATAATCTAATATAACCTAAGATAATCTCCAATGTTGGGCTGGATGCATTATTGGAGGTGTTCGTTGGATGAGATGTTGAACCAAGGCCCTGTTAGCCTCTTCAGGTCCCCATTAAAGATCCCGGAGCATTCAAAAAGAAAAGGGAGTTTCTCCCAATGTCCTGGCCAACAATCCCAAAATAAAATTGGTCATTCATTTTACATGGCTCTTTGTAGGTCATTGCTGTGCGCAAATTAACTTGATGTGGGTTCAAGGCCGACATTGGGACTTGGAACTCATATAGACAATATGGAGAAAGAGCTTGAACCAACGATCTTTTAACTCAGAAGCAGGAGTGCTACCAACTGAGCCAGACTGATACACTTGTATGACAAATTGGTATCAAATTCCCCATCTGGCGTTAGGTGCTTTTCTACAATAAAATATTCAATCAAAATCAAAATAGTTATGTTGCGCACAGTTTCTAGTTTTAGCTTTCAAATAATATTTTGATTTTTTGTTAAAGTAGGAAAATTAGAAGGGGAAAATTTAGGGTACATTAATTACATTACTTATTAAAGTTGTTTTCCTTTTTTAATGAAAAAAATTTAAAAAACTTAATTTCAGATTGGACCGGCCTTTTTAAGAGTCTAAACTTTGAATTACATCAAATTAGCACTTCCAAAACATCCAACAGGAGCCCTTTCCAGATTCTGCGCAATATGAGTTTAGTTTGTTGGTGAGGTTTGTTGGTGGAGTTTGTTTAATTGGTTGGTGGAGATTATGAAGATGACAGGACTCCACTCAGGAAAGAAGGGCTACAAAAATAATACAGTACTGTAGTAAGGGGTTGGTACTTGAATCCCTCTTTTTTAAAGGAGAAATTTAAACACCCTACAAGTTTAATTTTAAAAAGGGATTCCTGTGCATTTTGGAAGCTTTGCTCTCTGTTTGTCGTCCCTCTTGACAAAGTATCTGTCCAGTTGCCTTAGTTACCAGTGGAATTAGTTCAGGAAGTTTCCTCCTGTTAGCTGCTGTAAAATGGGCAACTTGTATCATGCTTGACCTGCACATTCTTCATACAGACACTGACTACAAAATGTAATAAAAAAGTTCTACTCCCAATACAAGCATAATTTGTCTTGAAAACTTCACCAAACATCCACTTTATTGTGAATTACAACAGTGATTATCAATTATTATATAATTAACGACAATTTAATGAATGCTGTACCACTAAAACAATCAAAATCGTGAGCTCCAAATTGTTGTACAATCCAGTGCATGTTTTTTTATTGTTGAGACTGCCGTTTAATCCGAAATATTGGTTACTTCTTTGTTCTATAAAACAAAAGTAAATTATTCCGTTGTTCTGAAGAAACAAAATCCTTCAGCTGTATTTGAACAACATATTAAGGGACGACAAATAGTCTCACTGACTTCCAGATCAGCTGGAGTGACAGATGTGATAGTTAGCTAACTGCATCTGTCATCGTCCCGTGGGTGCCTGTGAAACACGGCGCTCTGCAGGTGGGTGAGAATGTGCAGCTGCAATCTGCTCAGGCTGTCCAGCTTACAAAAGGCCAATCCTGGCACAGTCGTGTAAGTACCACTCTTCCTGAATCCATTCTGTTCTCACTCTTTTACATAAGCCAGTAGGTGGCAAAGCAGACTGAAGATTTAAACTAAGCATCAAGGAGGTTCCTGCCTACTATTTCTCACAATGAGAGTTTCCAATCTAAGCCAGGCACCAAGCACAGACAAGGTGCTCCTTGATCCCTTCAAGAAGGGGAAGGGAAAAGAAATCAGTCAGTTCACTCCGTCCTTTGTGCACATCCAGCACTCTTGTGGCATAATCACTGTTTGGCTGCCAGCAAATATGCCTGTAACAAGAACAGGGCTTTCTCCAGGGAATTCCTTGTGTGGCACACAGCATCACAACATTTTGGCTCCAGTGAGATCTCAGGCCCCTATGGCTAAGATCTGCTGATGTTGTGCAACGTAAAATAGATTCGTGGGCTTTTTTTTCCCCTTCTCTTGGTTACAATGATGTAGTGGTAAATAGATCTGACTGAGAAAATGACAGATAAGAAAATACCACCTCACAAGAGAAGGTAAACAGTATAACTTCAGTGCCATTTGTTACTTAGCTTAACATAGGAATGTTTAACCACGGTTTCTTGACACGTCTCATTTCGCTGCTACGCTTTTCAATCTTGCACTATACTGTACTATGGGGTATTAGCACTTCATCCAAAATCTTAACTGAAAAGAAAATGACAATAGAATGCAATACAGTGGAATAAAATATAATAGAATCAAAAACACTTTCGACAATGAATATTTGATGATCATTTGAAAAGTAAACCACTCACCTATCGACTAATTCTTTCATCCCCTCCTTATCCGGCACCAGTGATTGGTCCTGATCATCAGCCAAAGGTGTTCCAGCTTGACGATAAATACATCGAACCATATAACGTACCTCTGACCAATAATGCTGAAGTTGCTGAGATTCACGCTCATTCTCTGCTGATATTTCTCTGTAAAGAATACATTCACTAAGCATGGTCTTGGCCACATATTTTGAAACTGGTTCCATCACTGGTGGCAGCCCTGTTTTTGACAATCAGCTGGCTGAGATGCTGAGTCCCTCTACACAAGCTCAGGGAATTGGTCGAACACTTTCTGGCTTGCATAGTGCCTTAACACTGAGGAAGGCAGAGTGACCAGATAGGTTACTAACAAACTGCAACTTAATTGTGCCTTTTCTTAACGTTGCTCAAGCTGCTGCACAATACGTTGTGCAATATAAGCAAAAGTTTCCGTCACACCTGGGAGCTGAGTTGGCATTATAGAATTGCTTCCTAAATCTGTTCTGTAACATAAATGTACCGTAAAATACCATGTTGTGTGATAATTCCAATTCTTCTTCTACTACACTATTGTACACCAGGGGCCCCGTGAAATTTCTCACTATGTGATGTTTCTTCATTTTATAGTTCAGATACAGTGAAGGTTCTTTGACTTTTCAAAGGGGTAGGAGTGGTCCAGGTTCTATTACATGGGGGTAATCCCTTAATTTAAAAAGAAAAATAATAATCTGGTCATTTAAACCATGACTGTTTGTGGGACACTGGTATGCGCAATTGGCTACCATGTTTCGGGCACAAAATACACAGTCAATTCACTTTACAATATATTCTGTGAAGCGCTTTGAGACATCTCAATGACGTGATAAGGAGCTATATCAAAGTCAAGGATATTTTTATTATTGTTACAGAGATATAATAGCAGGAATGATAGACAATTTTCTACTAATTCATATAGATTTTTTTTAAAAAAGTTAAAACAGCACCTAAGGCTTTAATAATAATAATCCTTGCATTTGATATAGCGCTTTTCACATCTTCTAGATGTCCCAAAGCGCTTCACAGAATATACTGTAAAGTGAATTGACTGTAATATTTGTGGGCGAACGTGGCAGCCAATTGCGCACAGCAATGTCCCACAAACAGTCATGGATTGAAAATGACCAATTTTTTTTTTTTGGAGGGATTATTATTAGGCTCTGTGTGGAGTAAGGAAACTTGCCCAAGGTTTCGCCCTGTCTGGAATTGAACTCAGGTCTCTCACTTGCAAAGCGAGTGCTCTAACCACTGAGCTACAAGACTCTTTTATTAAAGAGAACTAGTTCAGTTTATCTATCAGCAAACTTACGCCACAGACAGTGATGTAAATTATCTGGCCTGCCTCAAAGGACTCATGAAATCCAACACAATAGCTTTCAAAATGTTAAGAAGTGAAATCTATGCTCGGTGCTCCTTCAATGCGAATATTTAAAGAACAAAAAATCTGTTCTCTACCAATAAAAATAAACTAGCAAAGAATTGTCTTGGGACAAGAATTTAACATTCAGAGGACTTGCCTCTATACCAAGGTTAGATTTATGAATCAACTTGAGCACAAGTGAGCACTTCACCAAATAAATGGAAAATGAATTACCTGCGCTCATTGCATGCCTCACAATTGCAAGCTATTTCTGAAGGTGCAGGAGTGTTGACATCTGAAACAGGTACAGATTGCGCTCCAACGGCTAGCCTTCCCGCTATCGAGTCCTGCGGTGCTCCACTGTTACTCAATGGCATATGCAACAGGAAGTCTTGGTTCTTTATTCACACGGACCGCAGAAGAAAAAGGAGAAAAATGGTATTAGAACTCTTTAAATATTTTTTAAAAACATTCACTAAATTGTAGATGTAGTTGATAGGAGTAATCAGAAATAGGGACACGAGAAGGCCATTTGGCCTGTTGAGTCCGTTTGGCCATTTTACTAGATTGTGTCAGCTCCTGATATTTTTGAACACCATTACAACACTCTCCATATTCCTGAATAATCTTGCATCTAACTATAGAAATTTACAAATTACAACAACAAAATGCATTTATATAGCGGCCTTTATGCAAAATAGTATCTCAGAGTGCGTGTGCACTGTTAGAGGATATGTGCGCCTAAACATGGAACATGAACCATTGTACTTGGGTACAAACAAATAGTTTTAAGTTCTGGAGAGGAACAGTCCATGTTGACTGCAACGTGGCCAAGAATCCGATCAATCTTTTACTTAACAATGCAGGAATGAAAGAGAATTCAGTCAAACTGATCCTTTTTAAAATCATTCTCTATTTCCTAACCCGCTGTTGTTTTCCTGAATTGGAACTTGCTCGAATTCCGCTCAGGATGTTTCAACACCCAGTACTAGCTGCGTTGGGTAGCAGTGTACAATAACTTGTGTTTATATCATGCCCTTCACTGTTTAACTGTGAAATTCCAGAAGGTTCCAGCATCAAGTCCAGGTTCTGCAACAAATCTGGCTTCAAAATGAAAGCAAGGTATATACCCTTGGGATTCTGTCAATACTACTTTGAGAATTTATGCTCTTGAAATTTTCTGTGAGCATTTTAGCGCAAGCTGACAGAGACTGTGACACTTGATGGAAACACACACACAATAATATTTTCTAAGTGTAAAGTAATCTCATCATTTTCTACATAAATGTGCAATCAGCAGTTCTCTTTTATTTAAAACTGGTGAATGAGGTTAGCCCTGCTCATCCCCTCTAACCAAATTAAACCAAATAAATTCTACTTAGGGACACAACCCCCCCCTGCCCCTTCCCCTCCAAAAAAAAACTCTTCTAGGCCTCAAATTATCAAAGGACAATGTGGATCTGAATCCTCTCTTCACGATCACCCGAGCAAATCCGGTGACGGGATTACCTCTCGGGCAGGGCAAGCCCGGCCTGAGCCTAGTGACCAGGTGCTCAAGTGAGCTTTGCATTCCAGTATCTCTGATTCCTCTTGTGAGGGCAGATCAAACCCAGTAAGTCCTCTTGCAACAGCATCACCCCACCTCCAGGTCCCTCAACAACTTAGGTGTATGTTAGTACTGAGATGGAATGGAAAGGGTTTTCATATCAGCTACTGTTATGTTAATTGATCCGACGCTCATCCAGTCTCTGGGACTCAAAATTCTTAAGTGTACAATTAATTACATTTTTTCCCCAAATCACTGCATCATTAAAAAAAACACTCAGAATTCAAAGGTAAATTTTATTGCAATTTCTTATGAATGCAAAATGGCACATGCAATTTTTTAAAATAAAATCAACAGAAGAGCAAAAATGTGGGTTTAACATTTTGCAATGAGGAAGTTGTTTGACTGCAAAGTCTGTCCCCTGAATGCTTGCAGCGGAGGTGCTCAAATACAATAGTTAAAAGAAGCATCTCAAAGCACAGGCATCAGAATGATTGGAGTTAGGCACACCTTTCACTGTTGCACACTGCTTGGGTGGCACAGCTCACTTTGTAAATAGGATACCAAACCGTCTTTATTTGTTCCTTGGCAGTTCGCCAAACAATTTGCAGTTCCTCAATCGCATGTATAAATACTGTATAAATGAAAATTGCAAACTTCAACATTCCTAATGGATCTGCTCCCTGAAGAACGAGCTGGTGACATCAGTAAAGATTGTGTGCCTTCACTAAACGCCAACAGCTGCAGAACAGCTACTCAACGCAACAGCCGCTGCTTCTCTCACATTCCATCAGTAAGTTCACACATAAATAATTTGGTCACTAATTCTTGGCTGTTTGTGGAACATTGCTGTGCGCAACTGGTTCCCGCGTTTCACCCAAAAAATACACATTCAATCCACTTTATAATATATTCTGTGAAACACTTTGAGACGTCTCCATATTATTAATATAAAAACCTCTAAAATCTGAGATTTACTCCACATCTAGTCTGACGCTAGTCAAAAATAAAACAAAGCCTTCTTAAATTTCACATCTTTTAGTAAAGTTGTAATAGCTCAGTGAAGGGCCCAAAACGATTTAGGAGTCTGATTCCAGTAACTCGATCACCTTAAGTGATCAGTTAAGTAAAAACATTTCAAATATAATTGCACGATATAAGCAGCTTGAAGGTGCAGGGTTTTTTTTCCCCCTATCATATAACATCAAACCATCAAAATGTATCAAATGCAAGGATTATTATTAAAATACTACATCATAAAATACTGGCACTCAGCAGAGGAAGCTTTTCAAAAAAGTCCATCCTCAGGAGGCAATATATTGCTACAACACTCTCACTGTAAAAGTTTTACCACTGCTCAACTCTATAGTCTGAGTGGCAATTTAGTGTCAAACACTATTTTATTTGTGTACGGATACAAAAATGAACATGGGGGAAAATGAAATGATCACAATGTGAGAACACCAATAACAACAACTTGTATTTATATGGCACCCCTTACGCAGGGTAGCATCCCAGAGCGACAACAGTTATTGAACTGAGGATTTAAAAGCCGGCAGAGTAAGTTTAAATTCCGTTTTTAAATCAAAGTTAATGGAGGCAGGATCATAGCAAGGCTTCTGAGAGCTGACTCTGAAGCCTTCCTTTTTTAAAAAAATACAGTAGAATACTGCTTCTGAAGCCTAAGAACTCCCCTTATTGACCCAATCTCCCCTGATCAGTAGGTTTTAAATATAAAAAAAACTCCAATCCTAAGCAAAACATAATAATTACTTCTTTTAAGTAAGCATATTTAATGGAGAGGCATTCAGCAGTCAGAAAGAGCAGTTTTTGGGTAGAGACCAGTACAAGTCCAGCGTGGTGGTTTGTAGCTTCTTCTGTAACAAGTTCTGCTTTAAAAATCCATAATGTTCAAGTGATGCGAAGATCATTGGTGGCAAGACCATGAACATTTTGGGGTACAATTCACAAGCTCTCTTGCCAGATCAATTTAGAAAGCGGTTCGTTATCTGAAAACTTCTCCACTTCAGTTCACAGTACAAGAATAATCTGAGATTGTTCACATTTTGTACGAGGAACTGAAAACTTGCTCAATTTGTCCTATCCACATTTTCATCTCATTGTGAAAAACATGCAGGAGCAAAGCTATTTGATTTTGACACATACTGGAAAATGCAAAAAACTAAAATTCTTTTTTAAAGGGCACCATTATTTAGGGAAGCTAAAATATGAAACCAGTACTTACCACGAGAGACTGCTCGAGAGAAGCCTGCCGATCATCCTTCTCAACGGTACGTCTGCAGTCCGGACACACCCAAAGTGGAAGATGCAACATACTGTTTGCTTTTGGAGATGTAGAAAGTGCCATTTTGTTTGGGTTAGTAATCCCACTCTCTGAGAGTGAAGAGTCTTTGCGTTCACTTCGACACAGAAGGCATCGTTCTCCTGTCGAGTATGGTGCCCTCTGACCCAGACCAAACGTAAAGGGCGTCTACAACAGAGCAAAATGGAAAGTACATTTAGCCATCACAATTCAAAAGGAAATGTATGTAAATGCTCACATTTTTACAGATCATTTTTAAGACTTATTTTTAAGTGTTAGCTGCCTCGAATGATAGTACTCTCGCCATTCAGTCAGAAGGTTGTGAGTTCAAGTCCCACATCACAGTTTCAGTTGACACTCAGGCGAGTCTCGGTTAACACTCCTGTCCAGTGCTGGGGAAGCACTGCAGTATCACAAAGTACATCCTTTGGATAACGTGTTAAATTGAGATGGGTTCCCATTGCCTGTTTAGTGGACATTAATCTTATGACATTATTTGGAAAAGAACAGATTTTCACCCCATTTCTGGTCAATAATCCCCCAGTTCTATTCGTTCAGTTAAATTCAGTTCATGGCTGTTTGTGGGACATTGCTGTGTGCAAATTGTCTTCTGCGTTCCTTAAAGATCATCACTGCACTTCACAACAACTCCATGCAAAACTCTTTGTGACATTTTGACATCATAGGTACTATATCAAGTGCAAGGATTATAACGATGAGTCAGGAGTCATGGTTCTGATCACATGATATAAAGCAAAAAGAAGCTGGAATAGACAATGGGATCTAACATGTAATTAATGTCAATTTTATAGCATATAGGCAACTATATGGCTGCCAGTTAGCAGGATTTTGATGGAAAATACATAGCCTCCAACTGGCAACCGATATCCACGAGAATGGGAACGCACTAAATGCAGAGGTGCAGATAACTAAAACGTGCATAGTGTATTGCGACTCTAAAACACCATACGAACATCCTGCTTCATTCTGAGCAATTTTAATCACACTCAAGCTCAAACCTCCAATATGGTCTGGCGTAGCTTAACTGAAAACATAAATTCCCAGGAAGGCACAATGGATCACTTTTGTTTTTGTGGGCCTTTAAGTGAAAACAAATGTTTTACTCAAAAGCTAGTAGTCCTGTAGAAAGTTGGAGGGTGTCAACTCTATCTACAGCAATGGAACCTATCTTACAAGAATGCTAGAAGAAGCTCAGAGCGAGAATGTTGTAGAACTAAGTTTCCTTCATCCAGTCAGGAGTCATTCCTTCTGCGATCTTGTTAATCATCTTCAGGATGAGGGAAACAAAAAGGCAAAAGACGCTTTCTACTGATTCTTTCAGTACTCCAAGATGCTATTCTATTTGAAGAGTTCTGTATAAATTCAAGTTTATAATGGACGCTGTGTCAAGAGCTACAACAAAACTATTTTTCACTAAAAATATTTTTCTCAAAAATAGATCCATTTCTAGATAACGCTAATTGTCCCAGATCCCGAGTCATCTTGTAAGGGGAAGTCTATTAATGAGCCGTGAGAGCCAAACCTCAGCATTAAGTATTTAACTTCAGAGACAACAATAATAAATTAGATTTGTATAGCGCCTTTCATATTGAGAGGTTGTCCCAAGGCGCTGGAGAGTCAGGGATTTGGACCTGGGCAGGGGGTTGGGATCAGGAGTGGTGGAGGGCAGTGAGGGTAGGGGTAGGACAGTGGCCAAAGGTCTGGTCGAAGCAGAGGGTCTTGAGACATGCCTTGAAGGAGGCAACCCTGTTTTGAAGGGCATTTGGTTTTCTCGTTGACCTTACGACAAGAGATTCCACTGAGATTTCCAATGAAAAACACTTGTTGGTGACCAAGTAGAAACTATAAAGCAACTGCAAAATGTCTTCTTCACACAGCAGCTCAGGTTTTGCGGTTAAATGCTACAAATTCTACAATGCTCTGCATTTCTTCAATGGTGCAGAGAACTGAAACTGGCCTGAAGGAGGTTAACCTCAAAATCGCAGAAGGTGATTGTAATGTGGAATTCTCTGCGACAAACCATTGCTGAGAGAGATTCCATAAATGTTGTTAAAAGGGAATTAGGCCAATGCTTGAAAAAGTGGATATTAAAGGCCATTGGACTGAACAGCAGAGAAGGATCAGATTAGGTTCACTGTCTGGAGAAAACGACCAGTGCAGATTTGATGGACCAAATTATTTTTTCTGTGCTGTGACATTCTATAACCACTGTTCTTTATGGATTTGGAGTGAATGGATTTCAGGAGCAAAAGATTAACTTTCTCTGCAAAATGCCACACAGTGAGTAAGTGTTCAATAAGTGAGTGGATACAGGGTAAATCACTAAGAAATAGAAAAGCTCATCAGACCAAATAATTGGACGTTTAACTGAAGAGAGCAGAACCCTTAGACTTGGGTAATAGATTAAATTCACTTACAGTGAAGATCGTTAAGCTTTCCCATCCACAGGCAAAGAAAGGGGAAAATGTAATGAATGTGCGCTGGGAAGTTGGGTATTAATTCAAAATGTTTTGGGATAAAGATACGTCACAATAATTGATTCCAGACACAACTGTCTCAATACCCTTCAAAAGAATAATTTTTAACATAAATATTGATCTCACTTAAACATTTAGGTACACATTTTTATAAAGCCAATCTTTTTGAGGATTATCGAGCAATGATTCAAGCGAATACTTTTCTATACTAACTTGAAAAATGAGCAGTAACTACATATTTCCTGAGAGACGCAGTCCATCAGTGACACACACATGAGCAAAGTACGAAACCCTGTTTTCTGGATTGTTCAAAAGTTTGTATGGGTTTCTTTTTAAAAAATGAAACACACTGAGAACTCACCATTTTAGGCTCATAAAAAACTTCTCAAACCAAAAGTAGGTCACTACAATTTACAGTAAATCCTGTGAAGCGCTTTGAGACATCCTCACAGTGTGAAAAGAGCTATATTAAATGCAAGCTTTCCCCGCTTCTCCAGCTAGGACCTGCTCAGGAACTGGACTACCGAGAACGCCACAGAGCATTCGTGCCTGATATTTATAATATATAATAATCCTTGCATTTGATCTAGCGCTTTATCACATCTTGCAGACGACCCAAAGCGCTTCACAGGATATACTGTAAAGTGAATTGACTGTATATTTTGTGGGCAAAAGCGGCAGCCAATTCTGCACAGCAGTGTCCCACAAACAATTGTGGATTGACTGACCAAATTATTTTTTTAAAAATTAATTTTTTGAAGAAATTATTACCCCAGAAAAGCAATCTGCCAATCAATTAACAACCAGGTTGCTACTTACTGGTAGGTAAACAGAAGTGTGCAGAGTAAGGAAACTTGCCCAACGTTTAGCCCTGCCAGGAATCGAACCCAGGTCTCTCGCTTGCGAGGCAAGTGCTCTAACCATTGAGCTACAGGACTCTACTGTAGCTCAGTGGAGCTGCGTGCTTGATTGGCCTGCAGAAAGGCAAGCAGCTTGTGTGTCCGAGCTGTAGACAGGAAGACGGTGGCTATGCTTCATGCATTTCATGCTGAGATGCGTTGCCCACCAGCTCACCGGGAGTCCCTGTACCTACCATGTACCTCGTGAGGGTTGAAACCCCCGTTTGTCAATAATAACAACTTGATTTATATAGCATTCTTCACATGGGGTAGTGTCCCGGAGCGCTTCAGTATCGAAATCTGACAACATGTCAGGGGGAGAGGGAGGTGACAGTAAGCACAATCAAAAAGAAAGGTCTTTAGGTGGGATTTGAAGGTAGGGAGGGAGGGCGCAGGGTGGAGGGATTGAGGGAGAGATTTCTAGAGTTTCGATGGTGGAACGGAGGGAACGAGGGATAATAGGACGCTGGAGGCAGTGGGTGGTGGAGTTGGGAGTAAGTCGGTTGGATATGTAAGGAAGTGCAAGGGAATGAAGTGATTTGAAAACGAGTGAGAGGATCTTGAAATCGATCCGTTTGTCAGATATCAAATGTCCAATGACTATCCTCCTTGGGAGGAAGGCAAATGGGATCTCCTTGGAGCTGAACTGGCTACAAGTTGAAATATTTGACAAAATAATTAACTGCAATGCCTGGTGGTTATTTAATCCATCTTGATGGATATGGGATGAAACTGGAATTCCCACCAATACACCATACCAAACAGATAAATACTACTGTCATTTTTGTGATGAATGCAAGTTCAGGTAACGTTCATCTAACCAATATAATTACATTTTGTGCAATTCTATATCACTTAAAAAGTAGGACGAAAGCCGATTAAAAGCACAGGTCACTTGTTTAAAGATTTAGAGATAATTGAAGAGAAGGAATATGAAACGGTATATGGAACAAATAGACAAAGGGGTAGACTAGGCGGCTCGTATGGAGAAACCACCATGGCAGAATTGATGGGCTGAAAGGCCTGTTTTGTGCAGTATTATTCATCAATTTTTGACGACATACACATTTAAAAAAACTGCTAACTTTGTAAACATAAATGCAAACCAAATTGCAATACAGTGTGGAATTGCATCTTCATTTAACCAAGCCTTAGTCTGACTGGGATCCAAAACAATTTATGGTCGAATTTCTGAATTACATCAAAAAATTATCCCCCACTAATACCATTACAATAGATATGCTTCTCAATAATTCATTTCCTTTGCAACTTGGAAAATGCATTGTTTCACAATCTCAAAAGACAACTTTCAAAGCTTTAACGTACAAATTGCCCTATGAAGTCTGTTCTGCTCTTACCTGAGGGACTCCTGTGTAATCTGATCCCACAGATCCATCTCCCAGTTGTGTGCCATTTATGGAAACCTGCAAAATACAGACAATACAGTGAAGTGATGGAACCAAACAACATTTCAAATGTATTCAGTCTAGGAACTGGAAGATACCATGCAAAAGTTGAATTCTGTTACATATAACCCCCCCCACACACACAAAATGCTGCTTATTCAACAGATGTTATTTGATGTTAAGGCTAAAAATATTTTTACTTAAGATTTAGTTTCCCTACTTTATCATTCAGCCTGTTAATATCCCACAATGGGCCAAAAATAGCCTTTATGCGTGCAAATTGAATTAAGTCCATTGATAAGAGATGAGAAATCTGCTGAGTTTTCTGGCTTCAACAGCAGAAGGGTTATCATGAGAAAGAAAAGGGCAGGAGGTTGGGAAAAAATTCAGAGTAATCAGAATATGAAATACTTTACTACAAATGCCTGATAAAACAGTCAACTTAAAAGTGAATTGGATAAATACTTCAAGAAAAAGATTCAATGGCAAAGGAAAAGGATTGTAGCAGTTTTATGTATCCAGAGTCAAGCAACATTTCTGTTGTAGAATAATGATCATTTTTGTAGGTCTTCCTATTGGTGAGTTTTACAATTGCGCTATATGCAGCACATTGTTACCTCGGTTGGAACAAGTGTTACCTTGAAGGTTCCAACAATATTAGGATAAATCATCTTCAGCTAAAAGATAGCATTAAAGTAAACCAATGCCGTGGCATTTTTCCAATTAAAATGCACCCTCATTAGCCAAAACTCATTTTCATTATTTAAATCATACTGTAGTTCCATGAAAGTTTAACTAGAGATTCATTATGTTAACTACATAATCAAAGAGGTGCTCACTGGACGCAAACTGAAGCTCTAGTAAAATGTACAGTTAGAAAGCACATGTCAGATAGTCGTTCTTTAGCAAATACTGCTGTACTACATTTCCAAATCCTGAATCAATATTGGTTATTTATTAGTACACCAACACAGATAAAACAGGAATGCTGTCAGGCAGATTGAATGAAATGAAATCCTTTTTGAACTAGAAAGACAAAATATAAAATGTTCTATTTGTGGTCAGGTGAAGTATTCAGAAAGCCATACTTGACCTTAGGACAAGTGCCAAAAAAAAGACAGAAAGTCTGCTTTGCGTATGAAGCATATATATTATATATAGACATATAATATATTATACATATAGTATAGATATATATATTTACTATAACAATATAATATATATGTGCAAGTATATAGTTTTACAGTCACTGCACTCATATCCAAATCTAAAGATTCTCTCAGATTGTAATGTAATAGTTACATCCAAGAGTAAATTAAAGGACTTTTACCAAAGATGAGTTTAATTTGCTCTCCTCACATATACACTAACATGTCAATGCTTCAAATATTTATAACAAGCTGTACCCGTTGCAGCTCTGCTTGCAACCAAAGGACCCAATATGTAATGTTGATTAACATACAGACAGACACACAAACAGACATTTCATCTTATCTATACTCATCTGGGAAGACTCCTGTGGGAGGACTCCTTTTGGGAGGACTCAGTGGGAGGACTTGGTGCTTTAAAAATGTAATTTTGTTGTTGCTGTGGCTTAGCTTCGTCTGTGTTCCTTCTTTTGTTCCCACCGCTTGGCTACGTGAGAGCTCTGTGACGCAGGATGCTACAGTGCGACGTTCAGCTGGCGCAGCCACCAGGTTTAACTGCAGTGCATGTGTATATACGTACGTGCTCTGTTACGTACAATGCCACAGCACCATGGCCAGCCAGCGTGGCCACTAGGTGTAACTGCAGTGTGTGCGTACATACGTAGATGCTCTGTGACGCACGATGCCACAGCGCCACTTTGACTTGGCGGCCACCAGGTGTAACTGCAGCAAAAAACGCAAAACTGAAAGTAACTCATGAACGATAAGAGATACCCGAAAACAAATATGCCCATGTCACTCCTAGATGCAAGACCTTTACGGTGAGGTATAAATTACGTCTCTACGTCAATTGCTTATTGAGATCCTTCTTGAAGCGCAGAAAGACATTGTCATTTTACTAGTATAAAAGATAATGCCATACAAGTTCACCCACAAAATATACTGTGAATTCACTTTACAGTATATTCTGTGAAGCGCTTTTTGAGATGTGTCAACAATGTGATAAGGCGCTTTATCAAATGCAAGGATTATTATTACAATACAAATTTACATAGTATCTTTCAAGTTGGGAGGATGTCATTTCAATGTAATAATTGTATTTGCTGATATACTATTTGATATAGTGCCTTATCACATCATCAAGGTGACTCAAATCTTCACAGAATTTACTATAATGTGTAATGACTGTATATATGTAGGCAAACATGGCAGCCAAATTGGACACAGCAATGTCCCACAAGCAGCCATGAAGTGAAAGATCAATTATATCTGGGAGATTGTTGGCCAGGTCCCCAGTAGAAACTCCCTTCTCTTTTTGAATATTATGGGATCTTTGACATCCATCTAAACATGAAGACCTTGGCTTAACCTCTCATCCGGGTGACAGCACCGCAGAGAGCTTCTGTAGCACCTCAATCTAGACTGAGCTCAAAGTTCTGCTGGAATCCACAACTTTATGACTCGGAAGTTAGTTACTAACTAAGCTAGATTTTGACAATTTCACCCACACATATAATGTGGGTGAAACATTATATTTCATTATAAGAACACATTAATGAAAAGGTGCTATACAAATGTAATTTTGTTGTTGTCTGCATCATCTATTAGGATGAGTTGGGGATAAAAGGTGGTATTTTGCACATTGTGCAATAGAAAACTAGTTATCTGTCTGCCAATTTTCCGTATGGGGCTCTGTTGCGGAAGCTGAACAAGAAATTGCAATAACCGGCAAATAAAATCTGTTTATGTACTTAAGAGAAGCTACGCACGTATGTCGTAAGAATGTGAATTGTGCATGAACACCTCATGTACGCGCACAGCCTGTACTGCTAATAGGGACGTTATTGCTATTTGAAAGTTAGGTTTTTTTATATTTACAAAGTTTATATTTTTTCTGTGTTGTCTTTCTGTGTTTCCCCCCAAAAATACAGTCAATTCACTTTACAGTATATTCTGCGGGGCACTTCAGACGTCTCAAAGACGTGATAAGGCGCTATATCAAATGCAAGGATTATTATTATTAAAGAGAGAAGTGAGAGGGAAGAAAAATAGGAGAGGTGGGGCAGAAGAAAGAGAGGCAAAAACGGAAGAGAGATCCCATGGCATTATGTGAAAGAAAATGATGTTTCCCCTGGTGTCATGGCCAAGAGAACTTCATGGTTGTTTGTGGAACACTGCTGTTCACAATCTGGCTGTGTATTTGCCTATCAAGTACAACCACTAAGATTTACAGACTGCTTCCAGACATCTTTACAATGTGAAACACGCTATATTAAATACAAGGATTATTATTACCTTCCCTCCCTCTGACCCCCAATCTCAGGCTGTCAGCTGGGTGAAGCGCTTTGACGCGTCCTTTTAACGTGAAATGTGGGTTACGGTAAATATACATTGTTTTTATGTTGTTGTTATGTACACCATTCCCAATTGTAAACATCATCAACTAAAAGCAGCATTTAATGGATGAATTAGATAAATTGCCAAATCTGCACCTAGTGAAAACTTGTGTGCACCGCTGCTGTGCCAATCCTCAAATACACTGGTCTGCCACCCAGCACACAATTCTGGCAGCGTTGTCATCACATTTGTCTAATACACTGGTGATGTATTATTGCACAGCACATGATGCCAGCATTGCTGCTGTGCACAGCCATCACCAATATGGTGCCAAGTCTGAAATAAACTGGTATACCCACAGCCAGCACCATTACTGTGCCAAGTCTGAAATAAATTGGTGTACCACACATATTGTACCATTACTGTGTCAGGTCTGAAATGCTATGCCAAGTCTGATATACACTGAAGCACTGCCAAGTTTAGTATTTCATCACCAGCAGTTGCAAATATACTGGTGAATTACACAACGCACCTGCTTATTCAGTTGATCCAAATGCATATTATTATAACCACACCTACAGTATGGACTATTTTGAGTTTAAGAAATCTGCTAACAGCAGAATATCACAGGTTGCAATCTTAGACAGGACCTTCCTACAGGATCATACTGATGTTTAACTGTGCACCTGATCTTGTTGAACATTTATTTTAATTTCAACTCCCAAGTTATTTTTAGGCCATGGTTTCAACCATCAATGTATTGTATTTACAAGGTAACTTGGACACAAACACTAGAGTGCAGTACAACTTTGATTTATAATATTGATGTTCGACCAGGGAAAGTCGTGTATGAGAACCTCTTCATTGCTTTAACATCTCAGATGTTGCAATTTAAATAAACATCAAATGTTAACACCTCCTAATATGAAATGGGAAACAAAAACAAAAAATGGACAAAAAGTGTCAAAAAGGGAGTGTCAAATACTGTGATTTTCGGAGTGCAGAGTAAACTCAAAAAATATTTGGACCGAATACTTTCGATAAGAGAATTCTAAAGGTTTTGATTACGACATCTATTTTGTGTAAAAAATATGAAAAAATTGAAGCTTCTGTTCACTTTTACAGTTGCTGAAATTACAACAAACATGTCCTTCCACATGAACTGCCATGACTCTTAGCATCAGTGTGACTTAGCTGGCAACACTCTTAACTCTGGGTCAGAACATCATGGTGATACATAAATAAAGCTGTAGGGAACGTTTTGTTGCTTTGTGACCTCAAAACAAAGCCAATGTTGCTTCAATATTGGTTCACGGAAAAGAAAAATACCCAATGACACTATAATAATAATAAATAATCCTGGCATTTGACATAGGGCTTTTCATGTCTTCTAGAGACGTCTCAAAGTACTTCACAGAATATACTGTAAAGTGAATTGACTGTATATTTGTGGGCGAAACGCGACAGCTAATTGCACACAGCAGTGTCCCACAAACAGTTGTGGATTGAAACAACCAATTTTATTATTGTTTT